TTACCAACTGGGGGCATTCTGCCCCTGAGGAAACATTTGGTAAATTCTGGGGTGATTTTGCTCTGTGCAGGGTCTCATGTTCCCCAGGCTGACCTGGGGTTCATTATGTATCTTTGAAGTCCTGATTCTTCAGCCTTCACATCCAAGCACTAGGATGATGGGTATGCATCACTATGCTTGCCTAGCTTAGTGGTAGTTTTGTTTAATAAACTCTACTCAGAGGTTGGGGTGCCTCTGACCACCATACACTGCACAGGACAGGCCCCCTCTTCTCTGTTCTCAGAGATCAAATGGGCTATGGTGAGAATCCTGGCCATGAGGGACAATTTGAGACATAGTATCCCTCCACTTAAGAGTGACCAGTAACCACTGACTGGTGGCTGAGGTCTTGGGGTGTCTACTGGCTTAGACTTGACCTGACAGCATGGAATCGGCCATATCTGAATGGCAGGGACAGCCCCACAGTGTTCTGTGGCTTACCTCCCAACTCAGGCTGCATGTGTTGAGGACATTAGTGAACACCTGTGTGGTCCCAACACACTGCAGCTGAGGTGCTTTCCACTCACCGGCTTCTGGACCAGGGGGTGAACCAGCGCAGTTCCCGGTAGTTGCCTTCGTTGGCCAAGGCCATCTTGGGTCTGATGAGTAGGATCTTTCTACAGCAGGTAAAAGGACTGATCACACCATCCTCCTGGGACAAGCAGGCCTCTGCCATGAAACTTGCCCCATACGATAAGTGAGGCCTCAGAGCTGGTTCAAGACCAGGGCCCTGAACAAACCTGTTTTTTTTTTTTTTTTCCCTATAGGCTTAAGCTTTCTGCTTGGAAAAAAAGTAGATCACCATGACTTCATTAGCCAACAAGAACACATTGCTGGAAGCTGGTGTGCGTGTGCACACACAGTGGGGGAGGGGTGGTTAGAAGACTCCCCTCACCTTTATTGTCCAGGCAACAAGGATGAAAAGCCCAAACAAACCCAACCTTGGGTCTTCTCCTCTAGCCTTAGTGAGGGTGGCTGAAGTCCAGAGAAGGAGATTCACTGGAGTTGCTGGGACAGTGTGCTGTAGTCACTAAGAGCACCCTGCAAAATGTCCCCACCAGAGCTAGGCACAGGCATGCCATCTCACTTACCGGTTGAGAAAGATGACCCTGCAGTTGTAGCGAACATTCCGGTGCATTACAGGCCTGCAGACAGGAGGGAGGACACATGTCTGCCTTGTCACAAGAGCACAGCAAGCAGAAGTGGTGGCACTAACTACAGTCATGTATTCTCTTGCTGTGCATATGCGGTGCACTCCCATGCACGGAAGTCCCCCTGATAAGCTCCACCTTACTTTTTTAGGATTGACCTTTACTTTTGATTTTGTGTATGTTCACGTATGCATGTGTATGTATTTGGACACACATCTACATAAATGCATCTGTGTGCATATGTGTATATATACACACATATAATTGGGAGGAGTAATATTCAAGGAACCCATGCCACTCAAGGCTTCATGGATGGCATATTCCCAGAAACAGCTCCCCCAAATTCACTATGAAGAAAACCATGTGGCAGGGTAAACATCTGGCTTGCTTTTGTGCAGAGTGTGCTCATGGGTGCCCAGAAACTCCTGGAAGAACTAAAAAACTGCTTCCAAGAGTTGTTGTCTTGGGGAGGTTAAGTGGCTATAGGGCTGGACAAAATCCACATTCAACATAAGGGTTTAGTGTCTCACTAGGACTCCATGGCCCCGAACAAAGGGGTTCTGGGTTCAGGACCCCCTTGAATTTGCCTTCTCTCCAAGCTTCCCCTTCTGTACCCTCATGCTGGCACTTACATGCCCACGTCACAGATGATGTCCTGAGTGATCGAAGATTCCAGAAGGGCAGCCAGAACTTGGAGTGAATGCAGGAGTGTGTCTGACTCATGATAATGATCCCAGCATCCATAGCCACTAAAGAGAGAGGGATCAGGCCAGTGAGGAGCCAGGAGTGGCCCAGGACTACCATGATGGTTGGATCAGGCACCAGGTTTTCCAGAGCCTTCCAGGTAAGTTAGTTATTAAGAACAAATTCATTGAGGGGCACAGGTGATCTTGGATGGCATAGGAGACAGAGTCAGGATTCTATGGAGAGACATTATACTAGTGAAGCAGGTTAATCCAGGAGGGTAATGAGGAGGATGCCTTGAGACTAATATAAAAGTTCAGGAAAGAAATACATGTCTGCTTCCCTTATGTCCAGAAAGGTTCTCAACCTTTCTGATGCTGAGACCCTTTAAAACAGTTCCTATGTATGTGGTGACCTCAACCATAAAATTACTTCATAAATTGAACTGTATGTTATGCTATGAATTGTAACGTAAATATCTGCATGCAAATCCCCCAAAGAGGGTCTCAACCCATAAGTTGAGAGCTGTTGCATTAGAGAAAAGTTGGGAGGGGGACAAAGAGGAGAGGACAATCTGGAACCCACAGCTGGTCAGAAGCCTCAAAAACAGACAGGTACCCTAGACCAGAGAGGGTAACACAAGGGGGTGTCCCAGCAAGAGAGCAGAAGAAATCAAGTCATCAGTTTCTCTATTCTCATAAAAAGGGCACCAGGGAGGGACCATTAATAGATGCTGAGATGATGGGATGAAACCTCTTTTTTTTAAAAAGATTTATTTATTTATTACATATACAGTGTTCTGCCTGTATGCCAGAAGAGGACACCGGATTGAATTGTAGATGGTTGTGAGCCACCATGTGGTTGCTGGGAATTGAACTCAGGACCCCTGGAAGAGCAGTCAGTGCTCTTAACCTCTGAGCTATCTCTCCAGCATGGGATGAAACCTCTTTATGGCCAAATAGGTAAATGAAAACATGGGGTTAGCAAGATATTGCCTCAGTGGGTCAAGGCACTTCCCACTAAAACTGATGGCCTGGATTTGATGCCCCAGACCCCCATATCCTACACACACAAAATGTGCATGTTCCCAAATAAATGCAATCACTTTTTTTTAATGGATTGGAGAGATAGCTCACTTGTTCTTGCAGAGGACCTGGGTTCAATTCCTGAACCTACATAATGGCTCACAACCATGTGGCTCGCAACTACCAATTTCAGGGGATCCTGTCTCTGTGAGCACCAGACATGAAAGTGCTGCACAGACAGAGGTGCAAGCAAAACACTCACATGCATAAGATAAATAAATGAAAGCCTGGGGTGAGGGGGTGTCTCAGTGCACTGACCTCCCATGTAAAATAGCATGGGAGCCCATTGCACACAGCTCTGGGGCTGAAGCTGTAAAATCAAGGCATCTCTAGAACTAGTGCCTGCTATAGACTGCTCCCTGTTTCAAATATGACACCTTCATCTCTCCTCAGCATTTTGGCTCAGAGAAGTTGCAAAGAGGGCACCTTGCAGGTGGCCATATATGTGGGAGGCTTCTTGGAGCCTTTATATAAGATGCTACTCATAGTGATTTAATCCCCACTACCAAGCCCTGCCTCTCAGCACCATCACTCTGGGACGAGCTTTCTGCAGAAGAATGTTGGAGAGACATTGAAACCACAGCATCAGGGAAGGTGAAGCAGCCTGACTTTGAATTCAGCCCTAAGCTGGTCTATTCTTGTCCCTCTATTTGCCTACCAGAAACCTGGAGTTATCCAGCCTCCACCACCTGCCCTGACCCAGGCCCACTCTCAAGTTGCTGACATCCTAAATGGTTTGCATTTCTTCTGCTCTCAGTACAACCCCTTTCCTTCCCATCTTTTGAAACCACTACCTGCCCTCCCAAGGGTGGGATGCCAGTGTGCTTAGCCATACCATATTTCTAGTTCTGGTCCAAGCCTGTATCTTGCACCTTTGGCTTTGGCAATTTGAATACCTAAATGGAGAGAGAGGGAAGGAGAAATAAATCAGCAGCTAGAACACAATCAAAGGCAGGAAAAGCAGGGTGCTGCAGGCTCTGTAGTGTTCACAGCCCACTGCAGGCAGTTCTGTAACAGCAGAGGACAGCAGGCACCTGTACACACCTGTATACACTTGCAGGAAACCAGAAACAGGGAGAGCATGTAGTAGTACTTTCTTGTCAGACTTTCATGGACCTCTAGTCCACAACACAGAGACTTATTATCATGAAACCTTGGCCTTAGCTTAGGCCTTTTCCCAACTAGCTCTTATAACTTACATTAACCTGTTTCTATTAATCTATGTTCTGCCAACTGGCTCTGTTACCTCTCCTCTGTACAGTACGTCTGACTTGTTCTGCCTCTAGTTGGTGTCTGCTCATCTCTTCATTCCAGAGTTCTCTCCCTGGATATCTCACCTATTCTCTGCCGACTAGCCATTGGCCATCCAGCTCCTTATTAAACCAATCACAGCGAAGCATCTTAACACAGTATAAACAAGTATTCTGCATCAGAGTAGGGTGGCCTTAGCACTGGGGAGGGGTAAGTCACACGGTGGTAGGTAATCAATAAGCAGACACCATGATCAGCTATAGGAAAAAGCTGTAGACAGGACGTGAAGGCTTCCAACTCTAGGATGGTGCCATCCAGCACTCACACCAGGTTGACAGCTCTGTTGCCAACATGCAGGCAAGGCAGCCCATCTTCACTCCTAAGACACATACTCTGACAACCAAAGCAGGTCAATATATACTTGAAGAAATAAAAAACACCTGGGCTGGCCAGATGGCTCAGTAGGTAAAGGTGTTTGCTCCAAAGCCTGACAACCTGAGTTTACTTAGATCAGTGGTTCTCAACCTTCCCAATGCTGCTATGTTTTAACATAGTTCCTCATGTGGTAACCCCCAACCGAAAAATTATTTTCATTGCTACTTCCTAACTGTAATTTTGCTACTATTGCGAATCATTGTGATATTTTGTTTATGATCTAACAAATAAAGTTTGCCCGAAGGTCAGAGTGCAAAGTTAGCCACATTAGTCAGTCATACAGATTAGTCAGTCACACACCTTTAACCCTGGCAGCCACACTAGTTAGCCATAGACCTGGGTGGTGGTGGTGCATGCCTTTAAACCCAGCACTAGAGAAGAGTATAAGGCGGGTGGGGACAGGAGTGCAGGGTATTCAGTCTGCAGTCACTCTGAGGACAGGGTCGCCCCAGCCTTGGTAGAGGTAAGAACTCTCTAGTGGTTGGCTACTTTGCTCCTTCTGATCTTCAGCTTGAACTCTCATATCTGTCTCTGGGTTTTTATTATTTGTGCTACAAACCATAATATAAGTATCTGATGTGCAGGGTATCTGACCCCTGTGAAAGGGCTGTTCAACCCTAAAGGGTTTGCAGCCGACAGGTTGAGAGCGGCTGACGGTTGAGACTCGCGGTGGAAGGGGGCAACTCACTCTGCAAGCTGTCCCCTGAGCTCCACCCGCACACCACGACAACACGTGTACATGCAATAATACATAAGGGCTCACTCTGCAAGCTGTCCCCTGAGCTCCACCCGCACACCACAACACATGCAATAAATAAGGGCTCTGTGGTTCTTCTAAGCTGACCTGCTACCTCTTGCTCCTGTCTAGTCTTCTTGCAAAGGCAGCTCAGCATGGACAGCCTGAAGCGGGAAATCTGCAGCTCGAAATCTGCAGCTCTGCCCAGAGCAGCCCCAGTTTGGGCGTGGTAGAAACTGTTCTATCTTTACAGTGAGCAGACACGAATGTCAACAATACAGGGATATTCAATGGAGACACTCTCCTCTGAGCTGAGAGCTCACCCTTTACCTGCTTTCTCGGTTCAGTATGCATTTCCCCAATGCCCATCTTCCAGGAATGTCCTTAGGTACCTTAGACCACAGATCTCTGCAAACACCCACAGATCCCATGGAAACAGCTCCAAGGATGGGCAGCTCTGTAAGGAACACTACACACCCACCAGATCCCAGAGGACTGCTGAGGGCAGTGTCTGCCTAGCGAGGTAGGTCACGCCCATCTCCATTCCTGCCTTGCTACTCCAAGTGTCCCCCAAGCTGGGAAGTCCCCCGAAAGCTCACAAAGGCCAGGTCAAAACCCTTTAACTGTTCCCACGCCTAGCGCTGTGAGTCTCTCCAGGGCAAAGCTGTGCACTTGTCTTGAGTGTTATACCCTGATCATTGTGGACTTTGGCTTCTTCCTGTCCCTCGCCACCCACAGACTCACTCTTTAAAATCCTCTGGAAATTGCCCTCAAAATCCAGGGCCCACTGGTTGAGTGCACAGGTAGCCACGGTCACCTTCCGGCCCATCCTGGTTTCCTGGCTGGGACGCTGAAGACACTGCACAGCACCCCAAAGCGCGACTTCCGGGGCTGCGCCTGCGCAGCGTGTCCTTCCTAGAGGCCCCGCCCCTCGAGCTGCCATAACCCCTCCCCTCAACTCGTCATTAGACCTGCTTCTGTCCCTGCCTCGAGAAGCCGGCGCAGAGCGTTTTACCGGGAAGACTCGCCCCTATGCTCTCCACAGCCACACCCCTCCTCTTTCTTCAGCAGTGCCTGAGCAAATCATCCTTTGGGAAGGCTCCGCCTCTCGGACCGCCTAGTAGCGCGTGCGCAGCGAGGTTGTCTCGGAGCCCCGCCCCTGCCCGAAGTCAGAACGCAGAGCCACGCCCCCACTGGTTTGTCAAGGACCATTTTCATGGCCACCTTAGCCACGTTTGATATTGATATATCATGAAAGGCTCATTCCTGGCACAAAAGGTGGTGTCTGGCTTGTTTTCTGTTGCTGTGATAAACACATGACCAAAAGCAGCTAGGATGGAAAGGGCTCACTTCACCTAGTCTGTTATGCAGTGAAGTTGAGGCAGATACTGAAGCAGAGCCCAAAGACAACCACTGCTTACTGGCTTGCAGAGTTTTCCAGAGTGGAGATTTCCAGGGTGAGAATTGATGCGATTTCAAGTCCTGAGCTTGGGGCGAGCCCGGGAATTGGTGGATTTTCAAGCTCAGGGGTTGGTGGGTTTTCAAAACCAGGAAGTGAACTTGGACCTTTTTACCCTGGGACTGCACATGCTTTAACAGTTCAGAAGCAACCCTCAGGGGCCTGGGAATTCTTAAGGAATATCTGTCTCTATAGGAGGATGTCCCTCTACTTTGGAAACTACCAAACAACAAACTCTGCTGGCTTGGACTGAGGCAAACTGAACCTGTAAAGTAAAATGTTCAAGGGCACTTCCAGGTTTGAAAAGTTACCAGACCCCACCAATCCCTGAGCATGAAATCCCACCAGTTCCTGACTTGGCTTGAAATGTCACCATCCCCACCCTGGGAATCTCCATCTTGGAAAACTTCTCTCCCAAGAAACCATATATAGGCCTGTCTCCTCCTCAGTTCCTTGCTCACTCAAGGAGAGAATTTCTTGTATCTCTTCCAATAAATCTATCGTGTGCGGTTATTGTACAGTGTGACTGCCAGGATACATTCCCCTTCAGCACTGTAGCATCTGCTTTAGGAAAACTTTCCCTCTCCACTGGGGAAAGTTTCCCCCTCAGAGAAGCAACATCTCTGCAGCCCCAAAGGAAGTGACACTTTTAGGAGATGTGGCCTTGTTGGAGGAAGAGTGTCACTTGTCACTGTGTGTGGGGACAGGCTGTGAGGTTTCTTTTCTTAAGCTTCACTCAGGGTGACAGTCAGTTGACTTCCTGTTGCCTACAAGACTAGAACTCTCAGCTATTCCTCCAGCACCGGATCTGCCTGCATGATGATAATGGACTGAACTTCTGAAACTGTAAGGTAGCGCCTCCACCCCCTTAAATGTTTTCTTTATAAGAGCTGCTGTGGTCATGGTGTCTCTTCACAGCAACAAAAACCCTTAAGACAACCTCCCTTGGGGAAGTCTTTCTCCTGAGCTGTAACACTTCCATTAGGGAAGTGTTCCGAGAACCTTTGTTCTTTCTGCTTCTCTAACCTGAGACACCCCTCTCCTATGATCTTTCTGTATGACTTTCTTGAATCAGACTGTAAATGTAGCTGCTTCTGGCAGTCACACAGCTGCGCTGTATCAACTCGCTTTGCCACAGAAGGTCCATCTGACATGTGACATAGGGGACAGTGCCTGCTACATTGCTTTTCAGAGACCAGGCCATTTTGTGTTGTTGGTTTTTATCAAAACCACTTAGCTTCTATGTTGGGGAGGTGACTCAGTTGGTCAAATGCTTGCCTTACAAGCAGGAGTGTTTTTGATCCCTAGAGCACAAGTTTTAAAAAAAAACAGCTCTTATGATGACAACTGCTCATAATTCTAGCTGTGGGGAGACAGAGACCACAGATCTCTGGTGTCTTCAACCCTGCCAGCCTAGTCTACTTAGCACAAGGTCCATGCTGGTAAGAGCTCATCACAAAACAAAACAAAACCAACTTGGGGAATGACACTCAAGTTGCCTTCCAGCCTACATGCACAGGCACATACACGAGTGTGTGCGCACGCACACACATACACACACACACACACACACACACACACACACTGCCTCTTGACATAGGCCTACCTGGATGACCAATGGGTGACCTTTTGCTATTAGAAGCCTGAAAACTCCTATCTCAGCTCAAACTACAGCCCTTTTGAACATATGCACTCATTAAAATCATGCTTTTACAATTTATACACAGATCACAAGCTGTTTCAACTCCATCCTTTTCCATGCCATTCATTGCCCTGTTCCCTACTCATAAATATCCCTAAATCCTACCCTCCAGGAGTGGATTGATGATTCAATTGCCCATCTCCACCACCACCACCCCCCAGCTGCCTTGCAAAACTTCTTTCAGTGATTGGCACATTGTTTGGCAGACCTAGTTTGATATTGCTCTCAAGGAAGGCTTAGACATGTCACTCAAAAATAGCCACACTGGTCATTTAATCTAGCCAATCAGTGAACTCCAGGTTCAATGAGAGACCCTATTTCAAAGGACAAGATGAAGAGAGATGGGGAATATCCCGGATGTAGGCCTCTGGTCTCCACACACAAGCATGCACAGGCATAGAGTGCACCCCCACCCCAAGATCCAATTTGAAAGGGTTGTACTGGTCAAATATGAGATCATACAACACAGGGTCAGTAAAGGGGAAAAAAAAGAAAGAAACCCATTGGTCCATCCTGATAAAAGTAAGTTAATGACTTGGGTTGGCAAGATGCGTCAGCAGGTAAAGTGCTTGCAGGGCAAGTCTGGCTACCTGGGTTCAATCTCTGAAACTCATATAAAGGTAGAGAGAACTAACTCCACAAAGTTGTCCTCTGATCTCCACACATGGGTTACAGCATGTGCCCCCACCCAGTGAACACACACATAGTGGTTCTCAACCACATATCGTGTATATCAGATATTTACATTATGATTCATAACAGTAGCAAAATTACAGTTATGAAGGAGCAATGAAGTACTTTTATGGTTGGGGGTCACCACAGCATGAGAAACTGTGTTAAAAGGGTCAAAGCATTAGGAAGGTTGAGGACCACTGCACTATAGTAATAAATAAGAAATATATTTTTGTTTTTGTTTTTTTGAGACAGGTTTCTCTGTGTAGCTTTGGCTGTTCTGTTACCAGCTCTGTAGACCAGGCTGGCATCAAACTCACAGAGATCCACCTGTCTCTGCCTCTGGAGTGCTGGGATTAAAGGTGTATGCCACTGCTTCCTGGCAGAAATTGTTAAAATTTTCAAAAGTTAAAGAGCTGAATTCTTGATAGAAAACTATCAAATAATAATAATAGTTTAATAATAAGGTTGAAGGAATGATGAAATCAAGTCAACAAACAAGAAGTAACCAATGTCCCAATTGTCCTCAATGAATGCTACATCACCAGGGTCAAAGGTTGCTAGGGAACTTTGTACTTACCAGTCTCAAAAATATCACTCCACTTATTTACTTATTAATCAAGAGAAAGATGGGACTAGAGAGATGGCTCAGAGATTAAGAGCACTTGCTGCTCTTGTAGAGGATCCAGGTTTGATTCTCAGCACCCACGGGTTAGCTGGAACTACTCCAGTTCCAGGGGTGACTATGTATGTATGTATGTATGTATGTATGTATGTATGTATGTATGTATGTATGTCAAGGGCGCCAGATGCCCTGGAACTGGAGTTACTGATGTGAGTGCTGGGGATTTTACCTTGACCCTCTGGAAGAGCTGCGAGCACTCTTAACTGCTGAGCCATCTCTCCAGTCCCGACTCCATATTCTGCATAACCTGTTATTCTATTCAAATGTGTACTCTGACTGTATCCTGGGTTTTAAGATAAGAGGATCCTGGGGTTTAAGAAAAGAGCAATAAAGGACATTCTTGGGCAGTTGGACCACCAGCACGGAGACAGTGGCTAACAGTGCTGAAGTCATTTCTGTTTGCTTTGTTGTGGTAGCAGAGGAGACTGTCGCTGGGCGGGAGTGGGGGATGGGATGGGGTGACTGCAACTAACTAATGTCAGGTGGTGTGGAGGAAAGAGTTGAAAAAAGAATGAAACCTGTGCAACTCTTCACAGCTGCTGTGTTAAGGTTCAGCTTGAATGAGGCTGGGCTTTCCCCAAATACATTCCGGGGCATGGAGGTGTGACTGAGTCCTGCCCACCAGGGGGCCTGTTGGGCTGTTAAGCCAGGGCCTCAGCCGCGTGCATCCTTTCGCTAGTTGCCCCCTCCTTACGGGGCCGGTCAGGTCTCCTGGTCCTACCGCTGTGCACCAAATGCGGCTTTAGGTAGGAACTTTGCTGCAGGGTAAACGGAGGCACTGAGGGGCGGGTTCGGAGCCTGCATGGTGGAGTGCATATTTACATCCTTTCTCCCACCAAGCTGCGTCCGACCCGAAACCCTGGGGGGCGTGGGCGGGGCGGGGCCGGCTCTGATGTCAATCTCAAGCCCGCCGCCTCTGACTGGCGGGCACGGTGGGCTCCGAGTCAGCTCACCGCCTTGACCAATCGTAGGGCGCGGATCGCAAAATCCACTCCCAATTGGTCGTCCGTGAAATACGTCACATGGGGCGGAGCTTCAGGCGGACACTTGGGCCTCCGCAGCAGATCGCGGGTCAACTTTCTGGACCCCACGAGCAGGTGAGGTTCTGTGTTCACTGACCAGGACAGAGTGCGGGAATGGGACCATGCGCACAGACGAGGCACGGGGTGGGGGTGGGGGTCGTCGAGTATGCAGGAGAGAGGGCCGTATGTACAGTTGGGGGGAGCGAGTATTCAGGAAAGGAGGTGATGTGTGAGATGGGAGACTGTGCTTGTGATCCGAATGTGTTTGTCGATTAGGGCATGTTCACTTGCACAGGTTTTGGGGAGATTGGGGAATAAATGTGCAGGCTTGGGGGCGTGTGCGCAGGTGAGGGGACCAGTGTGCAGATCAGAGACATGTGCACAGGAGAGGGGGCTGTGTGCTGATGTGTGTGTGCTTGGGGAAGGGGACTATGGGCCCAGCGGCGGCGGGCATGAGGGGTTGCTTGCTCAGGTGAATCTTCGAGCAAGCACGGAGGTGGAGTTTGCTCAGCTTAGCTGGGACCTATGGGTAGGAGAGGCAAGCATCTCCTGTGAGATGAATAGCCAGCTCCCTGGGGGACCTGTGAATGTGCTCAGCTGTAGAGGGGTAAGTGTAGACACACCCCTTGGCCCATGCTCCTATCCCAGGGTACATTCAGTTTGGTGGGTAGGATTTGAATGATTCTATTTAATCTCCAAGGAGACAGATGGATTGCCTGCTGGCATGAGGGTCCTGGGAGACTCTAGGCATATCTGGCCTCCCCAGACTGTGGAGAGTCCCCCATCTCCCTAATTTAGGTCGAGACGGTTATCAGGGGGAAGAATTGAAACAACAGAACATTTTAAGTTTTGAGCTACTGCTGACAGAATCTTCTGAAAGTGCTTCTTAAAACAAAACAAAGTCAGTAGCCAGTGGCCATAGTGGGTCTGCGTGTCAGAAAGAGGTGCACTGAGTAGGGTACAGTAAAGCCACACCGCCAAAGAATTGGATAAAAAACAGCTTTTGGACAGAAAGGTGGGACAACAGATGTGTGTAAATGATCATCTGTGGAACAGTCTGGGAGGGTATTGAGGCCTGGAATGGACTTGAGTGAGGAGAAAACAGTTTCACATCTGATGTGTATTTTGGAACTTTTGAAAAGCAGAGAGCCTGGAGCTTTGGTTAGAACCAGAAATGATTCCAAAGAATCAGGGTGTCAGGTCATTTCTTTTCTTGTTGGACTCATGCTTATTTCTGGGGGCTTCAGGAACTGCAGTTCCTCTACAGGGACCTCAAGCTTTCAAGACAAGTCAGACCAGAGTTCTGCAGCTTTGGGTCACTCTAGAAGCCAGCCTCATTTGATCTGGGGAAAGCAATGGGACACAGTAGACTCACAGATGCCATTTAACCACAGAAGCTTGTATGATAGAAAAGGAGAGGAAAACCCAACGTGCCCCCATAT